TTAAAGTTCTGAAATTTTGGAAAGTTTTGTGACATTCTGGAAAATTCTGCCTCCAATTCCCAGTCTCAGCCCCGCCCCTTCCTGCTCCGCCCTCCAGGGTCCGGTCCAGGCTCTCGTCCCATTGGACAGCGCAGGCCCCGCCCCCTTCCGGAACCTTCCCCTTGGTTTTGAGATGGTTTTGGGATATTTTGGGATGGTTTTGAGGTGGTTTTGGAGATGGTTTTGGAATGGTTTTTGAGACAGTTTTGGGATCATTTTTGGGACAGTTTTTGGCGATGGTTTTGAGATGATTTTGGGATTGTTTTGGAACGGTTTTGGAGTTGGTTTTGGGATGGTTTTTGGGGATGGTTTGGGGGATGGTTTTGGAATGGTTTTTGAGACAGTTTTGGGATCATTTTGGGACAGTTTTTGGGGATGGTTTTGAGATGGTTTGGGATTGTTTTTGAATGGTTTTGGGATATTTTGGGTTGGTTTTGAGATGGTTTCTGGGATGGTTTTTGAGACAGTTTTGGGATCATTTTTGGGACAGTTTTTGGCGATGGTTTTGAGATGGTTTTGAGATGATTTTGGGATTGTTTTGGAACGGTTTTGGAGTTGGTTTTGGGATGGTTTTGGGTTATTTTTTGGGGATGGTTTTGGGATGGTTTTTGGAACGGTTTTTGAGACAGTTGTGGGATCATTTTGTGACAGTTTTTGGCGATGGTTTTGAGATGGTTTGGGATTAGTTTTGAATGGTTTTGGGATGGTTTTGAGATATTTTTTGGGGATGGTTTTGGAATGGTTTTTGAGACAGTTTTGGGATCATTTTGGGACAGTTTTTAGGGTTGTTTTGGGATGGTTTTGAGATGATTTGGGATTGTTTTTGAATAGTTTTGGAAATGTTTTTGAGATGATTTTGGGATTGTTTTTGAATGGTTTTGGAATGGTTTCTGGGATGGTTTTGGGATTATTTTGGAACGGTTTTTGAGGCAGTTTTGGGATCATTTTTGGGACACCTTTTGGGGATCGTTTTGAAATGGTTTTGAAATAATTTGGGATTGTTTTTGAATGGTTTTGGAAATGTTTTGGGATGATTTTGGGATGGTTTTTGAGATGGTTTTGGGATGATTTTGGGATTGTTTTGGAACGGTTTTGGAGTTGGTTTTGGGATATTTTTTGGGGATGGTTTTGGGATGGTTTTGGAACGGTTTTTGAGACAGTTTTGGGATCATTTTGTGACAGTTTTTGGCGATGGTTTTGAGATGGTTTGGGATTGTTTTTGAATGGTTTTGGGATGGTTTTGAGCTATTTTTTGGGAGTGGTTTTGGAATGGTTTTTGAGACAGTTTTGGGATCATTTTGGGACAGCTTGGGGATCGTTTTGGGATGGT